ATCCTCGCGTCCATGGATGTCTCTTCGGATCCGTATCTGCCCTACGATGGCGGGGGGGCAGACGGCATTCCGCTCAGGGAGTTGCACAAACGAGGTATGCCGAATTTACGTTCGAGTTACTTGTTCGCCTGTCTGGACGTGTGAGACTGCTGTTCAGATGTGAAGCGGAGGGGTAAGGGCTTGTTAATTACTGCCTCGCTTTGTTTTGGCAGCCCGATGCCCTTTGTCGGAGGGGGATTCAGTTCTGGCTCGTTCCTGTGCTGTCAGTGATTGTTTTCTCTGTGGGCAGATTAGCCCTGCTTCACATCTCATCGGTTTGTGACTCCATCTTCAGTATGTGGCAGTCTTTCCCTTGCACTCTCTCTTTTTTTTAATAAATAAAAATCTCATGCACAAATAAATCCCCAAATTGTGATTGTGACTGACCATGACCGAATTGGCAAGAGTTTATTCACTAGGGTATTTTCATGCCTTTCAGTAACTTGAATAGGAACAGCATTTGTCTAGCTTGAAGTTGTTATGTGTGCTTTAGACTTGACTCTTTGTTGACGTCTTTGATGTATGAAGGGAAAGGTATACAATTCTAGTATGTTATTTAAGCTAATATTGATGACCTCTTAAGAAACTGCAGCTTTGTGATAGATTCTTTACACTGTTGCTTACAACGAAGGATATTAAAACAGTGTTGTCAATGTTCAGGAAAAAAGTCCTCTTTTGAGCTTGCCTTTTTTTTTCTTACTGAAAATTTAAAGCAGAACACATTCTATAAAGATGTGGTTTTGTACTGAGAAAAGATATAGTAGGAGTAAGTTAAAGTTATGCCTTCAAATTATGAGGATATAAGTTGTTTTCCTGGTTGGATTAGATGGTTACACTTTGGTGTTTAAAAATAGCATATGTGGTAAGTTGTCACTTTTGTTTAAATTGGTTAATCTAAAATTAGAAAGTTATCAACATTTATGGCTACTGGTGATGGCATTAGAGAGGAGGTAGGCTGAGATGGTTTACATAAGGTGATTTTTTTTTTCTGTCCATTGTTTCACCTCTCCTTGTAAACTGGTGCTGCTGTAAATAAATAAAGATCACACTTTTAAAATGTTTATTTAGCATTTTTGTCTGTGTTTTAGTAGTTTATATAAAAGGTTATTTGTTATCTTTTTATGATTCTTAGAATGTTTTTCAGCATATGTTAAGAATATCAACAAGTTCTAATATGACTTAGAGTATTTTAAAACAATCAAATTTTTCTCTGCCTGGATAATTTCGTGGCAGGTGCTGGATAGCGCTCTAAGTCAGATTTTTGAATCCCTTCTGAGACATCAAGGATGGTATTTTCTTAGAACACTTGCAAGGTGTGAATTGGAGGTCTTATCAAATCGAAGAAGACAGAGCCAGACTCTTTTCAGTGATGCCCAGTGCCAGGACCAGAGGCGATAGGCACAAACTGAAATGTGGGAGGTTCCCTCTGAACATCAGGAAACAGTTTTTCACTGTGAGGGTGACTGAGCACTGGAACAGGTTGTCCAGAGAGGTTGTGAAATCTCTTTCCTTGGAGATATTCAAAAGCTATCTGGATGTGGTCCTGGGCAACTGGCTGTAGGTGGTCCTGCTTGAGCAGGGGGGCTGGACCAGATGACCTCCAGAGATCACTTCCAACCTCAGCTTTTCTGTGATGTAGATTTGTAGATAGTTTTAAAGATGAAAACTGCAAAACAGCCCTGTTATTACACATTCAAACTCTGCAAATTATAGTTAGACATTAAAATGTGATCAGACAGAAATTACCAAATTTTAGTTGATTTTACAATGAAAAATAGATATTTGCAGTGCAAAATGGTATCTGGCACACTGGTGTATTGCTGTTAAATATACAGTTTAGAAATTGTGTAATGAAAACAGCTGAGGGTTCGACTAGGTGTTCTGGTTGTGGTGACACCACTAAGAGCCAACAAGAGAATTCCCAGTTGTGACTTGTCACTTCTTGGAGTTTCACTGAATTCCGTTAGGGCTGGTCCTTCTTAAATTCTAATACTGTATTTCAAAACCAGTGTTACTGGTTCTTCTTCGGTTTGTTATACTGAGTTTAGATATAAAAGCAAACAAACAATAACAAAACCCCAACAGCATTACCATAATCTCTCGCAAATCTTAATTTATCAAGTGCTTATGACTCAGAAGAAAATTGAATCTCCAGACCAGTTTGTTCCATAGATTTCATCAAAATTTGTGGGTTTTCTGATTTACAATACCACAGAAATCTGTTATTGTCATCTAGTTATCAGAATAAGGCTTAAAATGCTAACAGACAAAACCAGAAATTTGAAGTAAATTCTTGATATTTCCTTATTATCTCTGAGTCTAAAAAAGGATGCTACCAAGGTTTTTTTCCTCTCGTGTAGATTTCAGAGCATTGTAATAATAAGCTAAGAGAAAATGGATAAAGATGTTTTGAGAAAACAAGCTTAATTGTTAAAGCCAGTGGAATTTTTTCCCTTATTCACATACTGACAGCTCTTCTGTCCTGCAGAGTAATGTTCATGTCATGCAAAACTGCTTTGTAACATCAAAGCATTTGTTGCACTAATTGACTGCAGTAGCTCACCCAAAGTGGCTGTACCTCAACAGTGATGAAATGACTGTTTAAATCATTAGGGGTCTTGGAGGTTTAATTAATGGCCCTTTCAATTAGTATTATAATGCATTATTATTAAAAGCCTGACCGTTGGTTTGCATTAAGAAGATGTTTTATTTTTTTTTCAGTGCAAATACACCGTGAAACAGCAAATGGAAAGATTTTAAAATATGTATTTATTAATTGTATTTATATTTTAATGTTGATTACTCATCGTTACCTCTTCAACAAAATACAGATATTCTTGAATACTTCTTATCATGAGTTCCTTTAACTTACTCTGTCCTGAGACTTCTCTTTATGTGGTTCTAAATGCATTGTTCCAGACCTCCTTATCTTCCCTGTTATACTGAAATAAAACTGCAGGAACACAGTTCTCCATCTTTTCTGTTAACTAAAGGAGTTAAAAGTACTATTTATCTTCTCAGAAAGGGTTTTAAAATCCTGATTTAGGATTGCATGTATCAAAAGTAACTGATATGTACACTTTTTCATAAGAATTTTTTATATAATAAACCATATGCTGGGTTATATGTTGTGTAAATAAATTACTTGTGTTGCTCAATTCTTTGCCCTTGGATTTGTTTTTGCATCATTTTTATTAGCTGGACCCTTTTGAAAGTTCCAGGTAATAAGTATCTTGCTTGTCTTCCAGCCATCCACAGACATGCTCACACGCTTTGATTCCCCTCACTCCTTTTTTTTCCTAAATAAGCATTCATTTTACCCTTCTTTAAAGATTTGAAATCTGAGCAATAGCAGTACATGTATAGTGGCCAGCCTACCAGTAGCAAAACCCGAGCTTCAGCAAGCACAAGGGTTGTTAACTCCCTTTTATTTGTTACATATGCATAAGCACATCTTAGATTTTAGATTTTGGAAGTCCTCAGGCAAAATTAAGGAAATGCTGTACCACTAATATTCTACGATTGAGTCAGTAGCCAGGAGGTGTGAAAATTACATACATAAAGAGCACACCAAATTTACTGATTACTTACTTTTAGTAAATCTGATTTTTTTTTTGAGAGAGAGAGACAAAATAACTTAGTTTCATTTATTTTACACCAGTCACCACTGTGTGTAGGTGCAACTCCTGTTGCTTAGACTACACTATCAACTGAAATATTGGGGAAACATCTCCACCCCCCTGCCAGCAGAGGATATTTATGAATATTCTAGGAAGAGTTTGAGTCAGATGCAAACTGAGTCAGTTCAGATCCTCTAAGTGGTAAAAGTTATACTTTTGTATTTTAGGCTGCATTTCTGCTTGTGGGCCTCTTACGTTTAAGAATTAGTAGATAAATCAAAAGTCATTAGAGACCGAGATTCTCAGCATGACCTTTGAAGTAAATGGGTATGAAAGTTGTGTACACACGCTCAGAGCTAGAGTTTGACCCTGTAATTTTATTGGTAGCAGAGGGAGAATAATAAAATTTATTTTTAGACTAATTACAGGCTCATGACTGAGAATGCAATCAAGATGATGATAGTTGTCTCACATTGAATGCTTTAAGAAAAAGCGTTACTTGGAGAAACTCAGCGTGGTTACAGCACTGAATTTCTGCTGCACTTTGTTTTAAAGGTCCCTAGTATAAAAAGGGGATAAAGATTTTCAGTTATGAGTTTAGCATATGTAACTTTGGTGATTAACAGACAGTGCCATGAGATACAACTACAGTTCTTTGTAGGCACCTACAGGTTATCTGTCTGCATGTGCTGTGTGAGTCATAAGGTTCTCTATTAGGCATGTGTTTCTCAATTTTGGAAATAATTTTGAGATGTGGTATTAGAAGGCTAATGAACAAACCAAGATTCTGCCCTCCTTGGGCCTGACTGGATAATAATATTAGCAGAATTATTGTTTTTCTCGCATCCCATCTTTGCCCTCCAAAACAACGTGGAAGCAAGTAGCTTTTATCTACATGCAGCAGCAGTGCTTCAAAATCTGGTTACCTAAATTTCTGTTGTTCTGACTCATTGCCTTGACCATTGTTAGATGATGGATTACTTCCCTTTTGTAATGTTATACCTTTTATTTTTTCTCATTTCCTTCCTGCACTGCTCATCTTACTATTGAAGTTGTACCTTTAGTAGTGTGGGGATCCCCATAACTCCACTTGCATATCTGAAGTCCCTATTCATCATAAACATAGCTAAAGAAATTAGTCCGTTCTGCCTTTAAGACTCCAAGAAAACCAGTTAGAACGAGTCCAGAAGAGGCCATGAGGATGATCCAAGGGCTGGAGCACCTCTCCTATGAGGACAGGCTGAGAGAGTTGGGGCTGTTCAGCCTGGAGAAGAGAAGGCTCCGGGGAGATCTTATAGCGGCCTTCCAGTACCTGAAGGGGGCCTACAAGAAAGCTGGGAAGGGACTTTTTATAAGGGCAGTTAATGACAGAACAAGGGGAAATGGGTTTAAACTGAAAGAGGATAGGTTTAGATTAGATATGAGGAAGAAATTC